TGATCTGATTAGTCGACTAATCAAAAAATAATTGGTGATTAATCGATTATAAAAATAATCGTTTGTGGCAGCCCTACAGCCAGGTAATAATACACAGCCAGATAATTGTACACAGCCAGGTAATAATACACAGTCCGGTAATAATACACAGTGAACATGTATTTTGTCAGGGTATGCTGACCCTCCTGTCCAAATGCATCGACCGGATGAACCTGTACAACAGTGCAGCACATTTTGGAGAGATGGCCGGGGAGGAAGCTGGTGCAGCGTGGAAGGACATTCTCAACCTCCTTTATGAACTCTTGGGTGAGTGAGTGACTGACTGACTGACTGACTGACTGACTGACTGACTGACTGATCACATAAAATACTGTGTCAGCAGCTGTTCACTCTATTAATCTTCCCTCAGTGTATTTATTTTAGTTTTTACTCTTTGTACTCTGCTCTCCATATTATCTAATCTTCTGAACACTCTATCTTTAGCTTCTCCTTCATTTCAGCTTGCTCTTGTTTTTTACGTGCAATCTTATTTGTGACAACGGAGTTATTTTTCATTTTTAAAGGTAGCACCTTTAACAGAATACCATCGTAAGTTACCATTTTTCCAGAGCTCATATCAGGTCATAAATTTTCAATCTTTAGAAAAGTTTTACTTTGTAACCTTTTTTAGGGGGTGATTTGTTTTCCTGACATCGGTGTGTTCTCATCAACAGCTTCCCCTCGGCTCACCTTGAGTACTCTCGAATGAATCGCTTCTCCCGCAGGCACAAGCCACACGTACAACACACATACACACACACACACACACACACACACACGGGGGTGAATTTCAGCTCCCACCAGAATGAGGTTACCACCAAGGATGCAGAGGGCAGTCTGAGGAAGCAGGTTGTGGATGATGGATGGTTCTGGGGCATTTTTTTTTGTTTCAACAGGCTTAGTTAGCCTGAGAACACAAACACAACCACTTTGGTAGGTCATTATTGTTTCCAAACAGATTTGATCAAAAAAACATTAAAATAGTTCAATAAAGTAAGAAATTCTGATTCATCTTAAAGTAGGGCTGGGCGATATGGACAAAAAATTTAAAAAAATGTCGATAATTTTTTTTTTATTTGCGGAAATCGATAATCTGACGCTATCTTTCTTACTTTCTTAAAAAAAATAAACGCTGTCAAACCCTGCTTACTAGGACATATATGGATATGATAAACTACAAAGATACAACACTAATTGGTGGTGATATTTGTAGAGTGGGCTAACACATATATAACAGATATATAATAAAATGCTTCAGATTGGATTCCAACAATAGAAGCATTGAGTTTGAAATAAAGAAAACCTTCTATAAATTAGGGCTGTGTATTGGCATGAATCAGTTGATACAGTATATATCATGACACAGAGCTCACAATATGATATATTGTGATATATTGTGATAATGTAAACAAGTTGATTTATTGTGATATTGTAAACAAGTTGATATATTGTGATATATTGCGATAATTGCTTTTATGTTGCAGTCAAGAGAAAGTTCATTCCATACAGCAAATTTCAGTTTGGCCTAAAATTCAAGACATCCCAGCTAACAAGGGACAGTTGTCAACTCTACCTCAGCTTAGAAGGCAGMGGGTGTCGGTCTGATCCACTCAGATTCAGCTATCGGTACTTGGTGCTAATGTTTACCCACAATGCTAGCGTTTGAGCTAGCATTATACCCTCTGGCTCCTCAGGAGTGAAGGAACTAACTCCGAAGGCTAAGYATGAACTGCTGGCATGAATGTTTACTTATTAAGCCTTAATTAAAAATCGRAACAGGGCTTTAGAGAATTGATACAATATTGGSAAATGAAATATTGSGACAKTTCAGTGTAACAATATTTTCTTACACCTGTACTATATTTTGACATGATGTTCTTTTCAGCACAAAGACAACCGTATAATAAACCAAAACCTAAAAGCAAAAAAATAAAATAAAATAAAATAAAGATTTGTTAACTACTCTTGCTGTTAGCCAGTCCTTTCACTGCAACCACAGAAAAACTTTTTTAATTTTATTTTTCTTTTGCTGGATCTGAATATCCTTCGGTCTATCTGCCCCCAACCTCTTCTTCAGGTTTTCCTCCAAAGATTTTAGGAAAACAGGTGATAAATTAAATAATCATCTCATTTATGTTAATCTCGCTCACCATYGTACCTGCTCGGTCTATGCTAAGCCACGCCCACATGCACTCACGCTGGAGGTGGGCGTGACAAGACATCTGTCACTCATTCTGCACCACGAAGGCCATTAACTGGGCTTTGAAAAGTCTCTGGACTCTTCGAGACTGTTTGGCACAAGTTTTGTTGTAAATTTTACAAAATGTAACAAGTTTTTAAATTAGTGTTATAAAAATAAGGTATTCGAACATATTTATTGTAAATACCAAGGGAGGGGTAGCCCACATGTACCAGCCGTCCCTACATACAACTACAGTTCGATGAAGAAAATGATTGATGTACAACACATGAAGTATGGKATGTCACACTCCTGCTTGTCCTGACTGAAGACACCTCTAATCGCGCCTTTAGACACATGATGTGATGACAAGTGACAGGCCCCTTCTGCACTCTATCCATCTGTCATCATTAGCTTTGGCTCATCCTGAACCACAGAAGTCAGGCACTAAAGGAATACTTGAAATCAGGGATTTTGCCGGCAGGCCTGTTAATCATCAGGTAGGTGTCATTAACAAGCAGTTATACACTTTGTGTAGCTAGTGGCAGCTAGTTAGCCTCACTCAAAGAGGTGTTCTTATTAAGGTGAAGAACTGAGGAATCAGAGTGATGACAGCTGGATATGTAGGGCATTCAGGGCTTTTTATTTGTCTTCATCACATCATTTACCTTTACACAACTAGAGGTGTTTTCAGCCAGGAGATGCAGGATCGATAACCCCTACTTCCTGTGTTGGACCGAATGAATCGACAGAAAGGAACTTCATTCTAAATTTACTATCGCTTAGACAACATCTTTGATGTAATCAGGATTTGTAGTCTTTAGCCTGTGTGACACCAGATCCTTTGTTAAATAGATATTTTCACCTTTACATTGAATCTTTTTGCCCTTGATCCACCTGCTYGGCTCCGTTGATGTGTTCATATTGAATTATGGGTTTCCTGATAAGGCGGTGTGATGAGCTTAGACACCCATCAGTAATCTCTTTGACGCAAAGTGCTGTTTAATGGATTCATGGACATCTAGTCAGTCGAGTGTCCCAGAAGCAAAATGGTGCAAAATGAGAAAGTAAAGTAATGGGACTGCTTAATGTCTGTGCAGAGGCAAGGTAAGAGCTAAAAGGGAACAGAAATTAACTTCTTATTGTGTTCAGAGATTCTGGCTTCACGCTGACTTTATAGTTTTTCCACGTGTTTGTGTCAGGTGTCACATAAAACAAAATACATATCAGACTATGAACTTTCCACGTTCAGAGAAATTATCAGTGGTGGGCACAAGCCGGCTAAAGCGTAAATCAACTAATTGCRGACCTAAATATTTCATTTGCACTTTAGYGGACTTRCTAATTTTTATAATTCATAAGCGGATTTGCGCTTTCTAAAATTATAATGCAGTACCGCTAATAACTAATTATCTACCAGTCATCATTATCTTGAACAGCAGAAGGTATGACTGTCAATTAATCACAACACACGTGATCTATCCAACGGCACCCCTCCCAGATAAACACACTTATTGTGAAGGTATACATCCTTGCTGACTGTTGCTTTCAGTCACGGTTCTGATTTCCCACAATGCTTTGTGTCTGCTTACGTAGCAGGAAGGCAATAGCAAAAACAGTAAACATTTGTAATCTTTACTAAAATTTTGTATGTATTGATTTATTTTACTTTACAATCGGAGCTCCTGTTTTAAAAAAAATAAAGTTTAAACGCTGGAGCTCAAAAGCAATCGGCCAACGGTGTTAAAGACTCAGAAATTATTTAAAGATGTTATGCTGATGAAGACTGACATCTAGTGGTCAACTGGTGCAACTACATGGAAAACGTCCTAATCCAGGTAGAAAAAAATCAAAAAGAAAAAATCAGTAGGTCCTCTGGATGGGTTCTTCTTTAGTGAAACATTTCGTCTCTCCTCCAAGATACTTATTCAGTCTGAGTTTCAGGTGAACTGGAAAATTTTAAAATCCATGGAAACATGAAAAACTAAAATCCAAGCTCTTATTTTGAAGGGAAGATACTAGTTTCCTGTTTCCCGTGCTTTAGTTTCCCATCAGTGCGTCATGTACCCAGAATGCATCGTTTCAGTTTTCCAATAAACAGTTTTAAAATTACTTTATTGATGCTTCTTTAATGAAAAATCTACAACAAACAAAAGAAAAAGACAAAAAATCAGCCGAACTAGCAATCCTCAACAACTTTTTAAAGAATCAGCCGAACTAGCAATACTCAACAACTTTTTAAAGAATCAGCCGAACTAGCAATACTCAACAACTTTTTAATTTTTACACCAGTAGCCAAAGTTCTGTTTCAGGAAATCACATCCCCAGCAATCAGCGGTTGTAGAATTAAGTTGTTAAAGAGTTCATACACCACTAGTTGGCAGTGTTGTACGTATATTGTACATGAATTATTGTCAGCTAGTAAGTGTCAAATTGAACTTGCGCTTTAAAATTAGCTTCCGCTTGTTTTTCTACGGCATAAGCGGTTTTGAAGTTGCGGACCTAAATATTTTTGTAAGCATTTTAGAAATTGCGGAGCTAATTTTTGGATTAGCRCTGCCCACCACTGGAAATTATTATTTTGACTGTATTTTAATTCAACTGTTTTTTGTTTTTGTTCAGCTGCACTGATTCGTGGGAACAGGAACAACTGCACCCAGTTCTCCCGGAACTTGGACTGGTTGGTCAGCAAACTGGAGAGACTGGAATCCTCATCGGGTATCAAACACCTAAACACATTATTAAATTTCATTACGGGTGTTAATGTGTGGTTTATCTTTGATTCTTTTGTTCCTTCAGGAATTCTGGAAGTCCTTCACTGCATCCTGATAGAAAGTCCGGAGGCCCTTCACATCATTCAGAAAGGACACATTAAATCCATCATCTCTCTGCTCTACAAGCATGGACGCAACCACAAGGTGGGCGAAAACATGAAACATAATAATTTGGAAAGGTGCTTTTATTTTTTAAAGAATTTAATTGAAAAATAAGATGTGTAGATTCAGATCTGAGGGTGAAAAGTTATTTAATGGAGAACCATTTTTAACACRTTTAACTTTACTTTTAGATCCTGGATGTTCTGTGTTCCCTCTGTGTTTGCAATGGAGTGGCAGTGAGAACCAATCAGAATCTGATCTGTGACAACCTGCTTCCTAAGAGAGACCTGCTGCTTCAGACCCGACTGGTTAACGATGTTCAAAGGTAAAGAAGCTCAAGATACTTGGTACAACTATGCAAGAAGTTTTTCTTTGTCTTAAGTCTACATAATATTACACTGGAGCATTAAGGCCAGACTATGATATATGATTATTATTTTTTAATAAAGTCAGTATTATAAAAATTAAGTCATAGTTTTCTGACAATAAACTCAGTTTTCTGAGAATAAAGTCATAGTTTTCTGAGAATAAAGTCATAGTTTTATGGAAATAAAGTCATAGTTTTATGTGAATAAAGTCAGTTTTATGGGAATAAATTCAGTTTTCTGAGAAAAAAGTCTTGTGGGAATAAAGTCATAGTTTTATGGGAATAAAGTCATAGTTTTTGGGAATAAAGTCATAGTTTTTTGGGAATAAAGTCATAGTTTTTTGAGGATAAAGTTGTAATAATATGAGAAAAAGTCCTGATGTTATGAGAACTCCTACACTAAAGAGCACTTACCACTAATTTAAAATGAAGAAGGTTGAGTATTTTGTGAAGTTTTACAAATAACGTAATTCTAAATCTTTTAACACATAGGCATCAAATTATTATCAGTAGCAGGACTTTGGAATGATTGTGCAAACAACTCTATTTTAAAGAAAGAGCCACAAGAACTTAGAAGAAATTACTTCTTTTGTGGAAGAGGAACTGTCTGGTAGTAGAGGTTTTGTTGTTTCTCAGCTGTCCACAGCAGGAGCGTGTTGACTCTGGAACAACAAATGGACATGCATGTCTTAATCTGGCCCTAATACTCCGTAAAACATAGTGTAAAAAATGGTGTCTAAAAGTGTAAAGTGTATCTATTCTTTGAGGATGGAAAAATACACCACTTTTTTAATCTGCAGTATCCGACCCAACATTTTCCTGGGCATCGCTGAAGGTTCTGCTCAGTATAAGAAGTGGTACTACGAGCTGGTCATCGATCAGGTGGACCACTTTGTAACCGGAGAGCCGACACACCTGCGTGTAGGCTGGGCCAACACTAAAGGCTACGCTCCGTACCCCGGTGGAGGAGAGGGTTGGGGGGGTAACGGTGTGGGCGATGACCTGTACTCCTACAGCTTCGATGGACTCCATCTATGGTCAGGTTGGTGTCTTCACTACGGACCGGCTGCTGTTTGAGAGGACAGGTGTAGTTCCTATCAACAAAAAAAACAAAAACACTGCAGCAATACTTACAAACAGAAGCATTTAGAGTAGTGAGATTAAAAAGTAAAGAAAGTTTAAGCCTATAGCAGCATAACTAAAGGATACCTCCGGAAACCGTCCCTAACTATAGGATTTATCAAGTCTTTAGTCCTTAAAGTAGACGTGGTGTCACAAACTGAAACTGAAAGTAGRCTCCTCAAAGACAACAGCTCTGCCTCTAGGAACCACGAGTAAACCTGCAGTCTGAGTTCAAAGTCATCAAAGCTGCTGCAGAGGCTGCCACTGGATTTCCAGCTGACTGCATATTTGTTCAGCATCTTCATAATTTTTTCACCACGAAGCCTTTAAAAACCCATTACTACCACTCATTCATTTTGTGTCCACCCCAAAGCATTAATCACTCTCCTCTCCTCCTCTCTGCTCCATCTCTTCTCCTCATCATTCTGTCCTACATTTGCTCTGACTTTGCTGCTGTAATTGACTCGCTCTCTGTCCAGGTCGAATCCCGCGAGCCGTGGCCTCCATTAACCAGCATCTGCTGAACTCGGACGACGTGGTCAGCTGCTGTCTGGACTTGGGCGCCCCCAGCATGTCCTTCAGGATCAACGGGCAGCCTGTGCAGGGCATGTTCGAGGACTTCAACACCGACGGGTTCTTCTTCCCCGTCCTCAGCTTCTCTGCAGGTGTCAAGTAAGGTCTTCTAGGTCAAAGTCTTTAAAATGGTCTTTTAATAAAGGAAATCAGGGAATAAGGTTGTGGAATAATCTGGAACGTGATTATAAAAATGTTGGTTCAGTGTGTTTGTTTAAGAGAATGATAAAAATAAGTTTGTTAAACAAAAATGAAATTGTATAATGTATATCAAAAGTTGAAAAGGAATTTGAAGTTTTTATTTTGTTTTGTTTATTATTGCTTGAAATTAGGAAAAAAGGGGCAGATATAAGATTTTTTTCTTCTTTCTGTCTCCTTTCATTTCAAGTTAGTGTGATTTTTATTACCCCCGCCAAGGGCGAGGTAATGTTTTCGGTCGCGTATGTCTGTGTCTGTCGTTCTGTCTGTGGACAACATTACTCAAAAACTTGTGGACAGATTAACATGACATTTTTACCACATATGGGTAC